GATCTGCCCGGGAGCTGATCAAGACCAGATCTAACAAAGAATTTTTGCAGCAGTGTAAGACATGATGAAATCTGATTTGAATTCACAGAGGGGTAAGATGTGGACTGATTAAGCTTTGATAGAATTCGATTTTGTGTTTTCCTGATCAGCAGGCAAAAATCCCACATGAAGCAAGTGGAAGTAAATATAGCTTAGAGAAACAAAATGATGAATTTCATCTTGAGCAAAGTTCTTTCAAGCAAATTTCCAGATTAATCATGAGGGTCATGCAGCCCTCTAGATTTTGTTTATGTTCCTAGATTTAAATGTATTAAATGAGTCAATGGCTGTTATTGCAAATTCCTTTGTTATGAAATGGTTTAACAGTAGAGAAATACTGGCTGATTTCAGAATTAAGAAAAAATGCTTAGAAAGCCTAGAAAGCCTATTCTAATGGCCAGGACTAAAAAACTGAAATATGTCCTCTTTAGCCAAGTCTAGAAACACCATTCTATGCAGACTCTAGGTTTCTGTTCTTCTTTTAGTGTCATTATATTTCTTTTTCTCACCAAAACACTGCCCATATGATCAACAGTTAAAGTGCAAATTCATTGAACAAGCTCTCAAACCTAAGAAGCAGACTCTGAAATGGACAAATGACTATATGTAAAAGCGCCTATGGATAAAATTGAACAAAGGTGAGTCTGCACAGTTTTCTTCACCCTAAATTTTTCACATTTTAGAGACTGTCCGGCATATAGACAAATCATTATGCTGCTTGAGTCACTTAGTAAGTCACAGATCAGATACTGTAAGACTTCAGTTAAGTAAAGATCTGAACGTCTAGAGCTTTTTAACTGAAGGGAGATAGGATTTTCCAATTTACTGCAAAGATTTAAACCTTTCAGCTTCTGACGCACAAAGCAATCATGATGCTAGCTCTGACCCTATTCTGGATCAAAGGCCCATCATGCATCAGAGAATTTGCACATATTTGATTGATATAAAAGCCAAGAATTTTAAATTTCTGCCTCATAAGATGAGAAAAAAAAAAGTCTCACAGGATTTTTTCGCCCTCCTTTACATGCAAATTTCAAACCGTCACATGGTACAGAAGCAGATGTGTTTTCTCAGTCTCGCAAATTCTGGAGGCCTCATATGGCCTTCCATGTGAATCTCTAACTTAAAACTTGATTTAATCTAATTCAATAAACTTGAAGATACACAACTATCTCATGAAAGCATTCCTGAAATTCCCCAGTGAAAAGCAGGGACAACTCAGAGATTTATGAAACAATCTGCACCATGCTTTTTTAACTTAAATTGAACCTTTTTGTTTTTATTACAAACAGGATTTGATGATGAATAATCCCCTAAAACTGTGAGGGCTGTTTGGATATAGCAGACGGATCGCCTGTGTCCTCCCTAAAGTGGAAGATGGAAGACTAGGAGCATTTTTTGCTGGTTAATAATCCAGCCCAGACTGAGCCTCCCCCTCAGCACAGAAACCTGAATACCACTGATGTTCGTGTCACAGCCGCCTCACCTGACAGAAACTTCTTTGTTGTCGTCTCAGTTGCTCTCTGCCTGTCTAAGCTCTACCCTTCATGGAAAGGAGAAGATGTGGAGTAAAGGCAGAGGCAGAGTGCCAGAGTCTGGTCTCTGAAGGATGTCTGCAAAAATACTTTGGAAGCAGTCACTCTAAACCAATCGACCCTGCTTTTCAGGCAAAAGTTTGGTTAAAGATACAAATCAGCTGAAAGGATATATTCTGTGGAATCCAAACACTGATTGTTTGAATGCTGTTACTTTAGATTGCAATGTACTGTACATGTATTTATAGTGATTAATAAAAGTATACTTTTTTATGTAAAAAAGGATAGAAACCAGTTCCTAAATATGTGCTTATGGGAATAAAATAAACAGCGTCAACACCATCCTGAAACAAGTACATTTTCTTTTCCATCCAAATTGTGCTTCATGACATCCTGCAGACCAACGGAATACGTAGGCTTCAGGGCAAATAATCATCAAAATGACTACATTTCAGATCTGCTTCGGAACTGCTCTCAGTCTAGTCAGCTGTCGCTGCCTCTTTAAAGTGAGAAATAAATTTTGCTTCTCCAAACTGTGGTCATTTAAAAGCCTTATACTATCAGCTTCATTTAGCGCCACTTCCTACCAGAAATAGAAGAGGTAGAGCTGGCATGGGATGTGTCATCTGATCAGAATGCTATGTAGACACAGTTTTGGAGATATCCTGGGCATATCCCACAGATTGAGACACAGGGGAAGAATCAGAAGTCTCTTTAAGAACTTTACCTCCATTATGACTTCTCATTTTGTTGCTATAAATATCTTTTTTTGTCCTTCCACAGGTTCCCACAGGTGCTCCACATCACATTGAAAAAAAGTTCTTAACTTCAATAAATTGTCCTTTTAAACATGATGCAGTCCACATGCATAAGTGAGCTACTGTAGCATTTTGGAGAAATGTAAATTTGCATAATAATTACCAGATAATTCAATATAAAGTTACGACTTGTCAGTCTAGTCCTTGTCAGTCATTGTTCAATCACAATAAAGGCTTCGAAAATGTAGAAGAAAAACGTTTCTAGTTCAGAAATGAAGGTTCTGTTTACTGAGATCTGAGCAGCAGAATCAAAGGACCACTATAAGTTTGTCTATTTATCATATTAACTTAAGTAGGCTTATTCTCTAATGCATCTAACCACTAATTCAGAACTAATATTGACTAGTATATTTTGTTGTACATTTAACCAAAAAAATGTCAGGATTTCCTTTCTGTTCACTAACTGCAGATCCATGTAATCCAGTCACTGATACAGATTGTCTGTTACACTTCCACCCAGCACAGTTAATCTGACCCTTTGAGCAGCTCTGTAGGTTCCTTTAGATTCTGGCACAAAAATCCAGATTACAGAGACACATCACCAACATTTTCATGTTGGACACTGGCTCCACGCATAATGGTGAGCTGCAGGCGGATTCAGTCTGAATTTTAATTTCATAGATTGGAGTATTAAGACGTGGTAGCAGCTGTCATATTTGGCAGACACGTCGTGTTGAGAACAGATGATCTAAATCTTTTACAGACCGTGTTTGTGACAGCGGTGCTTTGGGCTCGGTTCAGCCTACAGTCAGGTCTTTACTAGTGCACTGTGGATAGATGCTGGTCTATCAGATGCTGTCTTCGTGTTTTTCGTTCTTCATGTTCATTACAGCATGTTGAACCATCCAGTTGGAAATTTGTTGACAGGAAGGAATCAGGATACAAGCAGAAGCCCCTCTAAAAAAAAACTACAATAACATAAAAAGGCACTCAGAGCAAAACTGTCTCTACTGTTAGAAAGGGACCTTCATCTTTTTCAGGAGCCTTTAACTCCCATAATCTTAACAACACAGATTAGTTAATGGGACTATAGACAAAGTGGAAAATTTAAGTGTTACTGCTTTTTCTGTTAGCAATATGAGTGACTTTTAAAGGAAAGCATTTTTAATCCTAAAATAAAGACTGTTAATATGTCACTGCTGACCATTTTCTGTGTCATAAGGATTAATGGCAGAACTATAAACATGTCCTCAATCAGGTCATGCCAGGGAAGAACCAGAAAGCTTTGGAGAACAAATATTTATGAATTTATATCAATTAAATTAAAAAAGAATTTACTGATATACTGTAAATTGAATATTTAATGTATCTTTTACTGGAGTATTTTTTTCTCAGAACAGAGAAATAATCAGCAGAGGCAAGCATTAGGTGATTTAAAACTTACAGGTAAGACATAGATGAAGGCTTGAGAACATTATTTACCATCACCATGGAAGTCATTGTTCACTCTGGACCTGAAGATGCTTGGACTGTACCCTGACTGTTTTTCTGAAGCCATGATTGCAACATTAATTATAAGGTATATTTGGACCATAAACTACGATTTAAGGGACTTTGACCCCAACTGTTGCCTTAAAGCTACAGTGTGTAATAATTACAGGGATATGCAGTCAGAAATGTAATATATTATACATAACTATGTTATTTATCATCATCTACGAGCTCAGCCTCTTAACCTTAATATTTGCGTTGCCTTAGAATTCGTTATTTATAATTACATAGGAGCGGGTCTCGCAGCCATGGAGGCAGACATCTTTGCGCTACGGCAAGCGCAGAGCCAACAAACTAGCGATTGCGAGATCGCCCATTACGCTCGAAAGTAACTACGGCAAGTTAAGAGAGATGAACTGAGACGGTACTGACCAATAGATGGCAGTATTATGCCTGAGAATACTATCTGTAAAATTATCCATGTAAACAAACCTCATCACTTGAGAAGGTAGGTGATGCGAACGTCGTGGAAGACATTTTGTCCCGTAACGCTCGCCGTACTGTTGGGGGGGAGAAGCGGTGGGGGGGCGATGTTCATGTGCTGCGGTCTGCAGTCTGGACGTTAGATGTCGCTAAAAATTACACACTGTAGCTTTAATTCTGTGTGAACACCTGCATTCTATAATCGACTTTGATTCACAATAGACCCAAGGCTGCAATTTTTTTTCTTCCTGTTTTCTTATCAAAAGCACATTTCCATCCTCTGCACTCGATATTAGTATGCTTAGATACAGCACTCTGAACTGCCAGCTTATTTAGCAATGATTTTTTTTGTAATTTAACAATCTTTTAATCACTTTCTTAAAGCAAGCCCCCCTTTTTCTGTATCCTGCAATGCATCATCACATTTGTATAAGCCAAAACATTTTTTTGTCCTTTTTGGTATGGGCCTGATTAGAGATTTTCAATTTTGTGCAATTTTAGGTAATAATCATTCAGTTAAATCAAAAATTAAATACTGAAAGTAGAAGTCCATCTATATTGTATGTAATAAATCTACTTTATTTAGAATCACCTTTTCCTTTCCCATAAATATTTATATGGGCCTGCATGTTAAGACGCACACACACTGACTACAGGAGCGATGGGGAGGAGGAAGAGGGAGGGGGTTGAAGAGGATGGAGAGACTTTAGCAGGGAGAAAGGGGGCAGAGTGTGGTAGAGAGGAAGAATACCGATTCACTTGCTCTATCCGAGAGAACCGGGACCAGAAGTGAACAAGGCAGCCCCCCCTCAGCCATGGACTGCGCGCTCCGGGGAGCGGGCGGCGGATCGGCACTCAGAACAGACGAGCTCCTGACTCGGATTTGTGGCCCTCTTTTATCCTCAAAATCAAGCGGAGAAACTTCATCGGAAGCTCAGGCTCGGGCTCAGTAGACCCGCTGTCAGAGAGAGAATCGGACAAAAATATATAATGGGCCCCAAAAGTCCATGCGTCCCTCGGAGTTAGTTTTGGGGGTCAGAACTGTGCGCACTGAGCGCGGCGTCCTTTAAACTGCAGCGGAGCGCAGCGGGAAGGATGCAGAGTTTGTTCCCGGTGGATGCGCAGCGCTGTGCGTGGAGCAAAGCGGAGCGGATCGCTGTGAAGAGGAGAGACTGTCTACTTTCCATAAGGTGAGAAATTGCACCCATTTCAAATTATCCTTTGAATAAGATGTTTATTCTCATTGAGATAAGAATATTTATAGAAACAAAGCTCAGATCTAATAAAACCCAACTTTCCCAATAAAACTAGAACCAGCATGTAGTATCTATTTATTGCAATTATCCATGTCGGTTTCTTAAAATTAGACTTAAGGATCGCGGTCATCATAATCAGCCTCGGTTTGATGGCTTATTTGCCCCCCTTCACCCCCAGCCGGCAGCATTACATAACTATTGAGCTGCCTTGGCCAGAAATCAATGCAATCTGTCAACAGGCTGCTGCTGTTTCATCACTTCTCTCTGTCCAGCTAATTACCACCAAAAATGCATCCCAATCAACCTGTCAGCTCATCCAATCAGAGCTTTAGCAGCAGGTTTTATTGATGCTTTTTTCTGTATTTTTTTTTTGATAATTATAACTGATTGTTCCACCTCCTGCTGAACCCAGTAAAGAAGGAACTCTCTATACACTTTAAATGCTCTGACCTTGTAGTCACAGCAGCACATCGATCTTAGTTGTGTCCCTCTGTAAGGAATTTGTTTCATCTTATCTGTGCTGACAGGCTGCATTCATCACCTTCCTACAGTTCTCTTCTCCTCCAGCACCACCAGACTTAATGAAACAGACGCAGGAAGAATGCAAAGTCTCACAAGAGCAGGAATTTGACTTTGGAGCAAGCTGTCTGCTCTAATCTTGAGGTTGAATTCAGTAGAGGAATGCTACTCTGTACAGTACATTTTTGCAGGGTAGTTTTTTAGGAGATATTTTTGCTTCAGTGTCCAGTTGTTGAGCGTCAAAACATTTTCTTGCTCCTTTTTTATCCATTCTAAAATGTGTTTGAGTAGAACCTGTATGGCTGTATAAATAATAAACTTGTATAATTTCATGACCTCGCGCTTTAGATTAAAATGCCTTCATGCAATTTAAAAGAACTAACAATTAATTGATATTTGATGAGATGAATGAACAGAAGTCAAAGCTGATTTATTCACAATTGTTTATTTATTTATTTTTTGCAGGTTTGGGTGAGAAGCCACAGAGGTGTTTGGTTGAGGAACTATCTTCAGTTCATGATGCAACATCATTAATGCTCAGCAACATGCTCTGAATTCTGCCTGTCAAACAGATGGTGACACCATGATGGACTTTTTGAACCAGCATAAAAATGGTTGGGTGTGGATGAAGGAATCTTACCCGTAGTGTGTTCTTATTTTTTATTTTTTGGAAACCTCAGGACAGCAGTTGCAGGAATTGTCGAGGACTTTCTTCAAGACCAGGATGGACACAATGCATAAATCCTATAATTTCTTTGCTGGGATTCTTGCTTTTTATTATTTTAAATCCTGTAGTTACTTTATCTGATGTTTCTGCATTGAACCATATGAAATGGAGATACTGTGGCTTTTATGGAGTAAGGACTGTACCTCCTTAGTAAGACCATTAATTCCCATACTGCTAGGCCTTCATCTTCAATTCTCACAAGCCTCTAACTGTCCCGAAGAGTGCCGCTGTGACCGGACCTTTGTTTACTGCAACGAGCGGAGCTTGACCTCAGTGCCTCTGGGAATCGGTGAGGGCTACAAGACTCTCTACCTCCACAATAATCTGATCAATAATGCGGGCTTTCCCCTAGAGCTGCACCATGTGGCCTCTGTGGAAACTGTGTATCTCTATGGCAACCAGCTTGACGAATTCCCAGTTAACCTGCCAAAAAATGTAAGAATTCTCCATCTGCAGGAAAACAACATTCAGACAATCTCTAGGGCAGCTTTGTCTCAGCTTCTTCAGCTGGAGGAGCTGCATTTGGATGATAACTCCATATCTACGGTTGGAGTGGAAGAAGGGGCATTTCGGGAGGCTTTGAGCCTAAAGATGCTATTCTTGACCAAAAACCACCTAAGCAGCGTGCCTATTGGTCTCCCAGATGACCTGAAAGAGCTACGGTTGGATGAGAATCGGATTGCGGTCATTGCAGAGGAAGCATTTCAGAATGTTACTCGACTGGAACGCCTGTTGTTAGATGGAAACCTGCTGACAGATGAAGGGATCTCACCTGGGACTTTTCAAGACTTGGTCACCCTGAGAGATCTTTCTCTGGCACGGAATTCATTAACTTATCCTCCCCCTTTCCTTCCTGGTGAGAAGCTTGTAAAGTTAAATTTTCAGGAAAATCAAATAAACAAGATCCCTGTGAAAGCATTTTCTGGTTTACACAGGTTAGAAAGGTTAGATATTTCCAACAACCAGCTGCAGTCACTGGTTAGGGGTGTCTTTGATGGTCTCGGGAGTTTAAGGCAGCTCACTGTCCGGAACAACCCATGGCTCTGTGATTGTGGCATGCATTGGGTGGTATCATGGCTCAAGTCTCTTCCTGTGTCACTGAATGTGCGTGGTTTCATGTGCCATAAACCTGAAAAGTTAAGAGGTATGGTGATCAGAGAGCTAAGTGCCGACCTGGTCCACTGTCCGAAACCTACTTCAACAGCTGGCGCTGCTCTGAACTCATCCGTTTCCACTTCCACAGACTTCCCTTTGATTACCCAACATGTTTCCTCTTCTAAACGACCCTTAACCACACTTCCCACCCTCTACACTATTTACACAACCAGGGAGGATGGACTGAGGACTAAACAGCCTCTAAAGGTAACTTTTAGTATCTTAAATGGGTCAGATATCCACGTACGCTGGTTGGCTTCTTTTCCAGTCACTGCCTACAAGGTGACCTGGGCCAGGATGGAGCCCAGTTTGACTGGAGACACGGTCAGAGAGAGGATAGTGGGTGGGGATCATCGAGGAATCCGACTGACAAATCTTGAGCCCAAGTCCACCTATCGAATCTGCGTTATTCCCTTGGATGCTTTTAATAATTACAGGCCTAGGGATGAGACTGTTTGTACAGAGGCTGTGACAACTGCAGCCTTTTTCAGCCCAGATAACAACAACCGGAGACGTTCTGGGCCAGAGCAGGCAACACAGCCAGAGTCCGGCTCACCACTTTTGCTGGCAGGACTCATTGGAGCAGCTGTGATTGTGGTGCTCGTGGTCCTACTCAGTATCTTCTGTTGGCACATGCACAAAAAGAGTCACTCAGAGTGGAAGTACAACCGGGGACGTAGAAAAGATGATTATTGTGAGGCTGGCACCAAGAAAGATAATTCCCTCCTGGAAATGACTGAAACAGGCTTCCAGATAGTGTCGCTTAACAATGAGCAACTCCTCAAGGGAGATTTCCGCATTCAGCCAATCTACAGCCCTAATGGGGTCCTCAGCTTCAGAGACTGCCCCCCAGTAAACAATAGCACAGTGTACTGCAAGAACAATGTCCAGGATCATGATTCATGATGGTTCCAAATACCATTAGGACTGTTCTGTCCTGTAACTGCTCAGACGTTTTTAAAATTCTGTAAAGTTAATATGATTTAAATAGCTATGACTTCAAACATGTAATTTATACAGCTGACTTTATCATCCCTTTTACATACCATGGTTGGATTTATGGGTTATTGTTTTCTGGAGTTGTGATGTTGCAATTTTGTGCAGAGAGCATATATTAAGAAACACATTTATTGTTTATTGTTAATAAGTGAGGATGCCTTGTTTTATTGTACTTTTGTGGGGGTTTTGCTGCTGCATCAAGTAAGGAAACCTGATAGACAGAAAGATAAAATCCTGATACCACTAGAGGGTGTAGTTTAATTGTTATGGCATTGGTGAAGTTGCAGCTGAAATCAGGTGAGATTATTAAATTACTGAAGAAGTCTTCGACCATATGCAAAAAAATATATAAATATATTTTCTTTAAAAATACAATCAAAGGTCACACTCATTCAACACTTAGAAAGTGACCGGCTGCTCAGCTTTCACTTGCATCTCCTGTTAAAAACATCAGAACAATAACAATCTAGTTATCAGCACCTGCTGTGTTTGGTGGGAGGGTCATAAAGCAAGCAGTAAAAGAGCACAAAATTGGAATGTTGAAACTCCTTGAAACTAAATATTAAGTTTGACACTGTTGATTTTTTTTCAGCAAAAAATTTATAAATGTGCCTTGAAGTTATCAGCTTAAATGTGTTATGTTTTTGTGCAAGATGTATCCTTGTATATACAATTTAATGGATTATTGGTATACTTTGCCTTTATTTATTTATCTTATGACACATTTAATTAAAACATATTTCCAAATGGGAATTTATTTCAGACTGGTTAAGCATGAGCAATGACCTTTGACAGCATGTAATTAAGGTAAACAAAGGGTCCAATAATTACAATAATATAACATCCAACAGAGATGAAACACAGCAGAACTGTAAGATACACTACTTACAATTTCCAACTGTATATTTCTCATGCAGGTTTTTAAACACTTGCATAAGAGGTTCATGACACAACCTTTAAAAATTTGAATTGTTTTGATATTTCTAAGCTGTGTTTTGCGTTTCCAGAAATGAATTACAAAGTGAAGATGAATGAAAAATACATTTCACAATGATTGTTTTATTATAACACATACACGTAAAAAAGAAAATAATTACAAACAAGACCAGAAATAACATTAGATTTTGCCTCAAACAATGGAACTTGGGCATTACAGTTTTTAAACCAGAACCATAAGGGTAGATTAGGGGTTTGTCTGCTGTAATAAGGGTGCTAATCCAATTGATGAATGGGGAGAAGGAGTGAGCTGAGAAAAATTCTTGACCAACCGGTTCAGTCATAATCCAACTCTCTTAAACTCACGAGATGGATCATGGTTAAATGTAGAAAGGTCTTGCATAGGGGTGGCATATATTCCAATTGGAAAGTAATGCTCTGTCAGAAAGGAGTAACATCGTCTGGATTGAGCTCAGAGTAAAACTGCAAAATGTTAATGCAGAAATAAATCAGCAGATGACTCAGTCTGATTTTTGTGGAAGTTCTTCATGAACATCCTATTATTAGAAAATCTTCTGAAGATCCTGAGACCTTTAGGCTGATGATGTGTATCTCTTATGGTGTTCAAATATTTTGAGATCTTCAAAACTTAGCTTAGAAGTATTATTGGTTAGAGGGCTGTATGAAAGATTCCTTTATAGCCTTTATTTCTAGAATCCATTATATCCGGTATATCTATATAAGTCCATCCATCTGTTCTTTTAATGTATACCACTTAATTTAGATGTCCTCACGACAATATTCGATGTAAAAGAAAACCCAAACAACAACCTTTCCAGTGATCCTCTTAATTTGCGATAGGGGTATCTTCAACAGTATCTCAATATTCTTGAACCAATTTTCTTTGAACCCATCATCATATCAGAAAGCCAGAGCCTGGCCACCAAGTAAAATAAAATCATTTAAGCAGCATGTATCCAGGATTTTACAATTTTAGTCATGACCTCAGGTAGATGGAAAACAAAACACTTCTATCCACCTCGTGCTACAAAACTAAAATATGTCGCAGTTCTACTTTTTTCTTTGCGGGAAAAGGCAAGTGCTTTTATTCTTGTTTTTGGTTCATTCATGTGATGACTGGTTGTGTGTGCATAGTAATAACAATCATAGTAATAACAATCATCTTTAACATCACTGCGGAACTAATTTTTTTCCACTTTTCAGGGTGTATTTGTGTTAATTTTCTATCTGAGAAAAGGCAAGTGATTCATTTTGTACAAGAAATTACTTTTTTCCCTTTACCATTTAAATGCAAACAACATTTTCAGCTTTAATTTACATGACATTTTTTTTCAGTACAACAGAAATTCCACAGCAATTGGTAAATATAAACAAAGTTCTGTTTAGCCAAGATTAGGGTTTCTGACTGACCCTTGCTATGTTTACAGTAGTAGCCATTCAAAATTTCCCCACTTTCCTTGATGGTCCCTTGGCTGGTCCCCTACAATCCCTTTTTAAAATATCAATATTTGTACTAAAATATTTTGATGACATTAAGATCTAAAGATAAGCATCACCTCCTGGTCAGACCTTGTAATTCACTGAAAGGGTGGAGTCAGGAATTTCACTGGGAGTTTGAGGGAAGTGGGCTGCCATTCGGCTGGCGTTTGCCTGGGAAGGACCGTTTTGAATGGCTGCAACTGTACATGTACAAGTTTTTGTATATAGATTAAAATGTGTTTGGAATAAAGATAAATACATAAAAAAATATCTGATTGGACCATTTAGATGACATGAATCATTAGACCAAAATTGATTACAAATATGTAATGTAAACAAGCCAATCAGAATATTCTGATGGCATCTGGCAAGACTATCTTTGCACATCCACAGTAAACTCTGCTTGCCTTATCCAGAAAAAAAAAATGATCTAGTCAAGTGTTTAAATGCCTGCTGACTGGAATGCTGGTATAAATCAGCCCTTTCAGTTTGATTATAATATCATTCAGATTTTAGTTAATCTGATAAGTGTTTAGTCCGATTGTTTAGTCTGATTGGCAGTTTATTTGAAAAACTTATGTCCATCCAAAAGTAGGTATTAAACAACTAACTGCAAAAATATTATTGGATAAACAGCTACCGTAACCCCTCCCTTAAGACTCACATAAACACCCTTTCACCAGTTTGAAGTGTGATGCAGATAAAACTAGAAAAGCACTCAGAGAGTGCAGACCTCTGCCAAGCAGCCAATTTTTCCTCAAATTGTGACTCACACCTCAACTAAAGTTCACACGTGATCTGGATCATTACCAAATTTTAAATGAAATGTTCCTTGGCGCACCTCTGGTAAAAAAAAAAATCCACAAAATGTAATAAAATTAAATCCAGTTTATTTCTATAGTGACAATTAAAAACATATTTTCTCAGGGCACTTCAGGGAGATAATTAAACCAGATCATACAGCCAGATTGTTTAAAAATGTCCTATCTAAAAAAAAAAAAAAAAAACACTACAGCTGATTGCATCAACTCACACCAAGCATGCTTTTAGGGACAGTGGAGAGGAAATATCCCTTTTAAAAAGACTGGGGTTTAAGGAGACAGAAGCTCCACGGGCAGCCCTGTCCAGGAAACACACAGCCATGATGAAGCAGAATGAGGAAAAAGGGTCCCTATGTCCTCCAGCAGTCTAAGCCTATATGCTGCAGAAGATTCTCAGTGAATTGTTTTTTTTACTTTTTTGGAATGTCTAAGCCTATACCAGCATAACTATAGAAATAGCTCACTATAACATGGCCACTCTGAATATGAGCTTTATCAAAAAGGAAAGTTGTAAGCCTAGCCTTATGCATTTATAAGTTTTCAATTAATCCGGCTAACAAACTAACAAAGTTGCCTTTTCTTGTATTTTTTTTTTTTTTAAATATCCAATGCTGAGGCTGTCAATAGTCACTCCTGCCAATCTCTGGTATAGTGGGGAACTGCTTGATCCTCCAAATATCCATATCTCACATCTTTTAAAGTGTCTTTATCCAGATTAGGATCCTCAAAATTTTATGAATTGTTCCTTCCATGTGGGACACCTCTGATAGTAATTTCATAAAAAAAATAGAACATTTTCAAGGTATCCTCTACACAGACACACACACAGAAACTTTCATAAAAACATAACCTCCTTGGCAGAGGTAATAATCATAAAATAGTAGAATGCTTATAAAAATAAATTAAACCCTTCAATGATAACAAAAGAGTATGAATTAGAATTAAAAAGTATAAACAACCCAAGTTGTTGCACCATTAAAAACCTGTTGTAGAACCTATGAGACAAAAACAAGAAAAATACACACAGACCAAACATTCACACAGTCTTCTCAGTCATAACAACATCAGGCCCAGCAGCAAAAGTGATGTAAGGTGGGTTTTTTTTGCGAATCAATAGTTTATACAAACTGACTGTGAGCTTTAGTTTTAAAGTCCTGCGGATTCTGTGATTCACAAGAGTCCAATTAAAACAACAGCATGGTAAATTATTGACCATCAATCCGTTGTCTGTACCCAACTTATAAAGGAAAGGTCATGAATGGTCTGGTTCCTATTTACAATGATCATTTGGTAAGAGAGTGCACACAGCCCTAAGAGGTTGCAAGCTCCTCACAGGGCAATGAAAAAACCACGTCTTTAAGGACTGACTATATCTCCGCAGCTATTCTTAGTATTTTAGATGACTATATAGAAAAATAAGATGTTATATAGCCCTTAGGTATCATCCGAATCCTGATGGTCTATGGTTATGGGGAACAGTATAAATCCTCAATGCATTCTGAAAGAAAACTGCTAGCTAAACTGAATACAGATAGTCATCTGTCACTACATGCAAACCGATGGGCCAGAAGACCACAAGATTAAATTAAAATCTCTGGCTTTATTCCTTAAAAGGTATACTAAACAAGAAGTCATGAAATAAATATGATTTTCTACAAGTACTCCCTGAAAAATGGTAAAAACAGAGCTCTGAGATCAAAGAAAAAGATGCATAAGAAGATACACAATGCCAGTGCTTTTAGCATCCAAGAGTTCACCAAACCCATCGGCTGCAATATTTAAGGGGAAAAAACACTTGGAAAAGATTTGAACGTACTGAAAGTTATTACGTAGCTCGTCTACAAAAACCCTAGGCATACAGCCATGCACACACAGACCTAGGGATGAATTAGTGACATCAATTAACAGTCATGTTTTGGACTGTGTGAGGAAGCTGGAGTACTCTGAGAGAATCCATGCATTGGCAGGGAGAACATGCAAACTCCATATAGAAAGACATTAAGCCAGGAATAAAATCCAGTATCTTCTTGCAGCAGACAACAGTGCAAAAAGCTGTGCCACGATGCATCCCTAAAAGCAAAATCCCATTTTTAAATTATGGTTTTTATTTATTAAACGATGGAAGAGTGTCATGATGTTTCAGCTGATGATTGGCTTACTTACTCATTTCATTCACCTGTCTAATTCTACCTGGTTTCTCATTATTGCTCATCTGATCCACCTCTTCCTCGCTCTATTTAAGCTGCATGTCAGCAAGGCCAGATTAGTTCTCTTGAGCCAATGGGGAGAGTGGGTCATCATTACCTTGGTGTCTCTGATTTCCTGGTCTGCCTCTCAACCACTGAGCCTGCCTGTTCCTGTTTCGATCTGTTTGCCTGACCTGGATTTGGATTCCTGGACCTCTGAGCCTGCCTGTTCCTGTTCTGATCCGTTTTCCTGACCTGTCTTTGGACTCCTGCTTGTTCTCTGTTTCCTGGGGCTGCAGCATCTGGGAAACTCT